CAGACTTTTTCTTCATTATTTTTTAAGGTTTTATTTTTCCTGATAGTATTTTAATCTTGCCTATGAATTCTTCATTCAGTTTTTCTTCACTGGATTTCCTCTGAAGTAGCTCCTGTTAACCTCATTTCCTAATACTCTCTCCATCTCTGGGATTATGTACTCCCACCATTTCAGAGTCCTAGACAAGCCTTCCAGACTTCTGCTCTCAGTTTCAAGCTTCTCTTGCTGTTTTCTCTTCTTTATTGTTGCTTCAAACTTTTCCATTTGTGATACTTCCTTCCCTTTGAAAGAAGACTTATTTGAAACATACCTCATTATTCTACATTAAAATGTGCCTTAATTTAGTTACTTAATTTTAGTTGTTTATCAACTAAACAACTGTGTTGGTCTAGAAAGAATCTGATGTAGGATTGGGGATGTAGCTCAGTGGTAGAGTACTTGTCTAAAATGTGTGAAGCTTGGGGTTCAATCTCCAGTGCAGCAAAAGAAAATAAAAAAGCAAAAAACACAAGAATTTGAGGTAACTAAACATATTCCCTAACATGAGTCTTATTTATTGGCACTGTGAATCTGATATTCATAGTAGTTATTTTTTCAAAAAAGCTTCTCCCTTCATGAATTTGTTAATTTTCCTTCTGATTGCAAACGTCCTTGAGGAAACAAGCTTAAAACAAGTGAATCTTTTGTATAAAAAATCAGATATTGCCTTTCCTTCAGGGACTTTTTCTAAGTGCACCTCTTTTGCGAGCTCTAATCTGCATAAGTACTATAGAGAACCCTTGATCTGAAGAGATAATGGGATTATGAATTATATACAAGGCACCTTAGACATCCTCTCACCTATTCTTAAAAATGCACAAACTGTGGCTCAGAGAGTTTTAAAAATTTGTCTGTGGCCTCTGAAATATTTACTGACATGTTTGGAATTTAGTTTAGAAAGTCACCTAGAAAGTTTTAAACCATCATTAAAGAAGGTAATCAATAGCACAGGATAATGAATGATTGGATTATTCTGGGCAGTGTGAGCTGGTAAATATTTAGCAGCTTGGTGAAGGGGCAGGGACAGAGGAAGCCCTGATTTGTAGTGTTGGCCGATTTTGTGGGGCCCACACCAGTTCCAAGCTGCCAACCTGACACTGTTGAGCAAGGACTTGGGAAGAAATGAGCACGATCCAGTTGGCTCTCCAGAGTGATAGCAATCATCAGATTGAGGAGGTCTTCAGGAGGAGGAAACTGAGCTAGTTCAGCGAATAGAGAACTCCTCACCTAAGCAGCGATCCCTTATGCTTGAAGGCCCAGCTTCAATGTGAAGGTCCCTGTGAGGCTTTTCTCTCAACCTTTTGGAAGCAATCACTTCTGCTCTGAATCCCAGAGTACTTAGTTATACTTTATGTGAGAGTAATTAGCAAAGATGATATTGACAATAGATAAGATCTTTCCCCTCCAGACTGTCCTTGGAAGACCTGACTATGCCTTAGTCCTAAATTATCACCTAAGCCTAATGGGTAGGAGCCCAAGCTGTGGAGTCAAACTGTCAAGCCTCAAACCCTGACATTGCACTTAGTACTCACTTCATTGAGATCTTGGGAAAGCTATCAGTCCTCTCTGCAGAATGAGACGTTAATTGGGAGTCTAGCTTATAGTTTTGCTGTGATAATTAATGAGATTTCTAGACCAGTTCAGTCAACCCTCACTAGAGTATTATTGGTTGAACTGAGTTGGCATGGAGCAAACTATGATTCAGCTAGCATGGCAGGAGGTTGGGATAGAGTGTGCTACAGCAAAACGGCGTGAACAAATTATTATTGAGAAAATGAGACTGGCATATTTAATAAAAATTAGTACATCATGGAATTATAGGATCAGAACTTAGTTTTCCTGCTGTGGAATGATGAACACAGAGCAGGGTAAGATCATCATGCCCTCCCTTCACCCCATGCGCTAGACGCTGTAAGTCTATAAATATAACATTTGTTGCTGCAACAGATTTTATAGACTGCTGTTGATTGAAATATCTCCTTTTCGGGGCTGTGCAGTTGCTTTTTTGATCAATCTGAATGCTAGACTTTAAGCATAAATACTGTTAACTTTCATTCCAGATTCAGTCCATTATTTGAATTAATTTGTTTTTTCCACACTCAACTCTGCAATGCATGTTGCCTTCTATCCTGTCTATCTTTTTGCTGTCTGCAATTCTGTGACCATGACTTTTACTTTGTTTTCTAAAACACTATATAGGTCACTTCCAAGAACAGGGTCCCCTGATAAGTCACTAAACACTTCTTTCCAGTTGGCATTGATTCATTTAACAATTTTCTTTTCTTTTTAGATATTTAACTCTTTTCCAATCTATCAAAGTAAGCCACAATCTATATTATAGTTCGTCTTGTTCACAAGAATGTCCTGAGACTTTGCCAAAATGTTTTGTCTGCAACATCTTTTCCCCACAGACAAAGTCTGTTAGAAGAGAAACTGCAGCTGGTTTGTTACAGTCTGTTCCTGATTAGCCTATGTTAATTCCTATACTGACAACATTTTTTCTGGGTTGAGCAAGGGATTCGTAATTCAAAATAGTGAATTTCTCCTCATCAAGGTAGGAAAGGGTTAGCGCACACATTTTGGGCACAATCCTGAGGGCAGTGAGAGGTTACTGAAATTTTTGAATTGAGATTATGTGACAAAGTTGTATTTCAAGAAAACCACCTGGCAACAATGTCTGTGACAAGCTCTGGAGAGAACCTTGTGTGAGGTTGGACGCTTCCTGGAATAATTCCAGAATGGGCTCCTGGACCACTTTGGAACATGCTGGGAGTAATGAAGGAGGAAGAAAATACCATTGGATTTAAAAGGAAAAAATCAAAAGGTACTATTGAGGGAACTTGAGAGGACTAAAAACAAACAAATAAAAAAGTATGTTAGGGTTTCACAATCCTTTCCACATTATTGAACATGCAGAAAATAATATCAATTTGGCCACAGGGGTAAATATGCCTGCTTGGGGATGGAGTTGACCCAATGTCATGGTCCCCCAAGGGTGGCTCTCTCTGCTCCAGGACTACCTGCTCCAACCACTGGCAGAGAACATTTCTATCTCCATATGCCTTGGAAGCCATTTGAAAATTTCTATTTTAGAAATAAGTAGAATTAGCAATATGAGGAAAAACAGACTTGGAACAAAATTAAAATCAACAGTGAAGAGACATCTGTATGGACAGTCATTACTTGACTCACGATTTTTTGAGTCTATGGTGCAGCAGAAGCAATGCACATTCAACAGACACTGTTTTGTATATTTTTCTGGGCTGCTGATATGTGATATGATACTCTCATGATGCTAGGCAGTGGCAGTGAGCCACACATCCCACACAAGATTGTGAGAGTGAACAACCAATAATCTGTAGCGCACTGTGTTGATACGTGATGGTATTCTGTAGGTCACAGGTTATTCAATGCATTTTCAACTTATGATATATTCAATTTACAGTGGATTTATTGAGATATAAGCCATCACATCACAGCCTGAGGAATATAAAGGAGAACAAACATTTGGTTCAATACATTATTCTGAACAAAGAGGCAAAATATCATTTATACACACTCAGAAGGAAACCAACCAGCATCAGAGTTAATGCCAGGGAAAGACTACACAGGTGCCAAACAAAATAGCCCAGGACACTAAATCATTGCCCATGTCATGATGGTGCAGTGATTAATTTACAGGATTAATTTAGATATGGAAGTCATCAGCACTGTGGGCCCAAGTGGAGGGAGGAACAAGCCACACCTAAGAGGACACCAGGTAGAAACCTAATGCAGAAAAAGGAGAAACAAACAAACAAAAAGAGTTTGAACTTCGCATTAATATGGAAATCCTTGCCTATTCACCTAAAACTTGGTGAAGTACTGCACTTTGTTGTTTCCTCTTGGTTCCTGTAGTTAAACAAACTAAGTGGTTTTGTAGTCCTCACTTGTTTTGTTTTGCCTTAACACATGGAAAAATCAGGAAAATGCAGGAACTTGCAGTCCATGATTTTTTGTGATAATCAAAGATCCTCAGTTATAGAAAATTAAAATGAGTTCTCTCTTCATTAAGCTCAATAGCAGAGTGAGAATAAATCCAAAATCTTGTAGATTCTGTCCTAAAATTAAGAATGACTGGTTCCTCTAAAAGACCATTGAACCCATGCACTTATCCCAGTGATCAGCAGCGGGGCTGCCATGTGTGCTATATCAGTCATGTGAAGGGTGCTATTTGGGGGTGTCTGGCTACGTGTGGCCGGCTGCTCACACAAACCTGTCTGAGCCACTGCAGGTGCATACATCTTCACTGACCCACATAGTCCTTACCAGCCCAACCTTCCCTTCCCTGAACAAGCCACATCTGTGTTCTTTCTTCCCGATTTACCATTATGTTCCAGTTCAGACCGAGCTGGCTCTCCATGCAGTTTCTGTCTGGACCTCTGTTATAAGTCAGGCTGATGGCCGCAGTCACTGTGTTGATCTTTCCAACATTATTTTCTGTTCTCACTATCATGTTCCTTGTTACAGTAAAATAAAAACAAAACAAAAAAAACCCTGACAGCCACACAAAACACAGGAAAGGGGCATCCTCACCGCACTTGGTTCAATTTTAGCACTCACCACATAGTGCTGTAAATAGTTGTTTGCATTTCTGACTTCTTCACCCAGCCTGATGTGAGCTCGATGGAGGGCAGAATGATGCTTCTTTGAAGTACAGAGCTTAGCAGGGTACCCACCACATAGTAGGTCCACATTCAATGCTTGGCAAGTGGGTGAGTGATTGAAAGTATAGCTTTCTTGGCTTTGGAATCAGTAGTCTCCTGTTGAGCATGTGGTTTTAAAAGCCTGCTCTCCATTATGTACAAAGCTTGCACCTGTTTGCCTTCATTTAACTGTTTCTTGGAAAGACTCAGACAATGCTAGGGGAGGCTCTCTTGTCCTGGTCAGTGGTTTCTGAGTCTTTCATTCATTCTGTGCAGGTGGGGAAGTGGAAAGACAAGTCGCTGCAGATGAAGTATTATGTGTGGCCCCGAATGTCTCCAGAGACAGAGGAGCAGGAGGATGACCACCTGAGCATTGTAACCCTGGAGGAAGCACCGTTTGTCATTGTGGAAAGTGTGGACCCTCTGAGCGGAACCTGCATGAGGAACACAGTCCCCTGCCAAAAACGCATCATCTCTGAGTATGTGTAGCACCTTCCCCACAGGCCCCGGGTGGCATGGGAGAGTCACATTTGATGCAGCTATTAGCATCTGGCAAGCCTGGGACCTGGAGCATGGAAGGAGTTGAGCACTGTGTTCACTCTCACCTGCATCTGAGCCGCAGAAGCACTTGCAGCCTTGTGGTGTGGTGTCTGGCTCTGTCTGTCCTGATGACAACCTAGGAGAATGACGCCAACCACCAGGCCGAGGTGCCTTTGGCCTTGCCCAGCCGCAGGGCCTGGGACCTCCAGTTCACAGAGGTTTAAGTTCACTTTCGGTGCTGAAATATGTTTCCTTGCACCAGTATGTCCCCAAATTTTAAGATTTAGAACCATGTTTGGAGATAGATCAGACTTACCTATACTGTGAGGAGTCAGGGTGATCATTCTCTTTAGTAAAGAAAGGGAATACCTGGAAGGAAGAATGAGAGCCTCTTAGGTGCTAGAAGATTTTCCATACAGTTAAAAGGTTGAGGTGAATTCAGTGTATGAAAATTCAGTGACCTGAACCCTTAGGATATGCACCCTTTCCAGATGTTTATACTTCCATGGAACATTAAAAATTGCTGGGAGATGTGGCAGTGGAATGAGAATACTGCAGATATGAGGGCTGATTTGTTTGGTTTGAGTGAAGGTGGGGGCTGCTTTGGGGGTGGAGTTTTAATGACCAAGAGTAATATTTTGTTTCTTGTACAGAGCTTTACTTTTTTTCCCTTCCTTTATATGGCTAGGAATAAAACAGATGAGGAGCCAGGCTACATCAAAAAATGCTGCAAGGGATTCTGTATAGACATCCTTAAGAAAATTTCTAAATCTGTGAAATTCACCTATGACCTTTACCTGGTGACCAATGGCAAGCACGGCAAGAAGATCAATGGAACGTGGAATGGTATGATTGGAGAGGTGAGTGTCAGGAAGTAAGGGGCATTTCCATTTTTCTTTTATTTTGCTTCACTGCAGTATTTCTTAAAATGTTCATGTCATGAATTTCTGAAAATATCAAATAGTAAAGAGAAGGTACCAGTCCCACTCTACAAAGAAAGTTACTTCTAGGCCATGCATATTTTCCTCACAGTGCCCCCTGCCTTCCTGCGTTCTCAATGGAACATTGCACCTTTCTCTCCAGGTGGTCATGAAGAGGGCCTACATGGCGGTGGGATCACTCACTATCAATGAGGAGCGCTCGGAGGTGGTGGACTTCTCTGTACCCTTCATAGAGACTGGCATCAGTGTCATGGTGTCACGCAGCAATGGGACTGTCTCACCTTCTGCCTTCTTAGGTAAAGGATGGGGAAGAAACAGATATACAGACAAGTGGATGGATGTGGGGCAGCTGCAGGAGCACATGGCCAGGCTCTTTCAGCCAGGAGGAGGTTGGCCAGATGCTGGGGACTTCATTTGGGGACTTTAGAATTGATTATTCTCAAACATGAAAGCTCAAGAACACTCAGAAAGACAGGAACGCATACTGCCCTTTGAGGAAGCCCTGCTGGACTGGTCAGCAGAGGCCTCCTGTAGTCCCCTCCATATCACTTAGGCATTGTCTGACCTCAAGCACATTGCTCTACCTGGGGACTCAGTTTCCCCATCCAAAGAAGAGGTCATTTCTACCAGCTAATCCCGAGGCTGCTTCCTTCTCTAATAATTTCTAATTCTGAATGTCATTGACATACTTATTTATTTTTAATTATCTTCAAGAGTCGGTCCTGACACTACCAAAATAGGTTTCCTGTTTTTCCATGAATTTTTGAGGCTTTGCCAGTTGGAGCTGATCTAAGGCTTCCTCCCACCCCACCCCATTCTTGCCCTTCCATCCTCTACTGCCCCACCTCCAGCATCACTTCAATGTCAGAAGCCTTAGATGTAATAGAGGCCTGGGTGAGATAAGACCAAGATTTCAATTAGATGAGGTCTCCTGTGAGCTCATACTCCATATGTTTTGCAGGGGCTGTGGAACAAGGGGTGGAAAATGAAATGTCACCTTGAAACCAGAACATTGACAGGAAGCCTGGGTTGGTCATAAACAAGCTATAAGCCCTTGGATGGGTCACAATTGCCCTAAGGGAAGTCAACATTTTCGAAATGAGGATGTTAGAATAGACAGTGACTAATGTTTCTTTAAACTCTCTCCATAAGAAATTAATTCAATTAATGTAGCACTAAGTGGAATTATAGGTTCCATAGAATTTTTCTGTAAATTACAACTGTACTCAAGTTTCTTAGCTAATCTTCTTATTCATAGAGAAGCAAATTCTGGCCTGCCAACCTCATGTGAAATGTTATTAGATAGCACACACTATACGCAGTAATCCTCATAGCTGCTGGGTGCAGTTTGTTTGCACTTTTCCTTTGTAAGGACAAGTGGAACATTGAAAGTACATTGTAATTCTAACTCTTGTTAGTTTATCACTAACTATAACTTCTAAAGAGCCAGCGAGCCCTGGAATGACAGAAATACCAGGCAGAGTATTTTGTGTGTGTTTGGAGGAGTCATTAATTACAAGGACAAGAAAAGCCAGTGGTTACTGAGCACCTAATATATGATGTGGCAGGCATTATTGTGCATGCTTTATTATTATTAACTCGCTGATATTATCATTATATAGATTTTATGATTTAGGAAGAATAGATCTAAGACAAAGTCCAGTTATGGTAGCCTTCAGAGCCTGTGCTCTAGACCACATTTGGCCATCTCAGAATTCCACCCCTAACCACGGAACCTGGCTGTGATGAGCACATTATTAATTCAGCATAGTCCAATGGGAAGAGCAGACTTTATCTCAGAGTCCCTCAGTTCATAACCTCATTGCCACTTTCTCAGTGTGAACCAAAAACTTTGGTTCCTCAGCCTTTAGTTTATGCCTCTGTAAGCAGGTATGGTAATCCGTAATGAAGGGGCTATTAAAAAGGTTATAGTTAACAGTGTGTGGTGAAAGAAAGCTTTGTAAATTGAGAAGACCAGCACCGATATTTATTGTAGTTTTTGTGTTGCTCTGAGCTTAATGGGGAAAGGGGTTGACCCAGAAGTAATGATTTTACTCAGTTATTCCCCAGTCTTAGAAAAAAGTGAAACTGAGGTAGGATTGTAATCCATTAGAGTCAAAGATGGAGGAGGTTTCCTACACTACCATAGAGAGGCTTTGAAATATCCCATCTATGGTTGAGACTGGCTGCCACTGAAAGGTTTTGTATTTCACAGTCAGTGTGTTAAGCTCTGGAGCTTTATTAAGGTTCTTTTTAAATTGATTAAGTGACCAAGCTTTTATAATTCCTTTGGAAGTTCAATAGTAAATTAGGTTTCAGAGTAAGAAATATATTTTCTAATTTTCAGCCAATTTTTCCCTTTTCTCAACTTCATCTTTATTAATGATTGGAAGATAGGGCAAACAGCATGTTAATTCACTTAGTTATGAGTTTACAATGTGATGTGACAGCTAAAAAGGCCAGGACTATTTTGAGACACAATGGAGGGAGCACTGTATCATGGGACAGAATAGCAATGGTCCCTTTGTGTACAGGGCTTCAGAGAGATGCTTCTAGAATATAGTGTTCAGTTTCTGGGCACCTCTAAGCCAGAGAGAGTTATTCAACTGGAAGGGAATCCACAGAAATTATTAAAGATATTAAAGAAATGATATATACCACATTCTTGCTATCATGCCTGGTCTTGTGCCACCAACCCTGTCATCTAGTAAGAGAAGAAATAATGGGGTATGGCTTGTGATTGTTTTGTGAATCTCTACTTGTGCATGTTCCCTTGTCACTTGTTAGATTTCTACTGCTGCAAATATTGATTTTCAATGTAAATAGATTTTAAACTTTGAATTGTATTCTTATATCCTAATGATGTGTAAAGAAATATACCAAATCAAAATGGGTTGAAAAAAGTAAATCTAGGCTGGAAAATTTAAGAGAAATGGGTAGGAGTATTATTCATAATTATTATGGAACCAATTCACTCTGATGCATTAAGAATTAATTTGACTGCAAGATTCAGTAGCAATGATGAAGGCTTTGGGGGTCACCACTTTGTAGTAAATGCATAGAGATGAGAACATAAGCCAAATCAGTCTGGAGAATTCATTTGCACCTCACCTGGTACTTCTTCCAATTTTACCTTTCACTGAAAGACCAAGCTGTGGATCCAGCAGTTCTAGAAGCTGTCTGTACAACCCTCAGAAGGTTCACAAGCATGAGGTTCTCTTCCTCATGTGTTTCAAAGAAAAACATCCTCAATATGCCAATCTGGGGAATGGATTTGCCAGACTATCTTATTTCTCTTTAGCCTAGTCCCTGGCTCCCTGAAGGCATGCAAAAGCCTTGTTCTTTGTTTCTCCCCAAATTTGTGTTTCCCTGAGCAAGTGAATCTGTGAGATAATGAGCATCTGTTTGTTCTCTGCTCTGACCCTGGGCGGGTTTTCTTTTCCTCCCCAGAGCCATTCAGTGCTGACGTATGGGTCATGATGTTTGTGATGCTGCTCATCGTCTCAGCCGTGGCTGTCTTTGTCTTTGAATACTTCAGCCCTGTGGGTTATAACAGGTGCCTCGCTGATGGCAGAGGTAAGGCCAGCTGGGACCACTGCTCTTCTGCATTTATTCTAATTTGTGAGTCCAAATCTTTGTGCCCTTCATTTGTTATGTGCATCCTTTCTAATTTATCCAGTTCTGGAAAAAAATAATCCCTCAACTTCTAGTTCACCCACCTATCAGTTTGAACTTCTATGTCCCTTCTTGGTACATGCCAGCCCTAAGTCAAGTCCCAGCCCCAGGTAAATGAGAGGAGAGATTGATAGTGAAGATGTGAAGTGTAAATATGTCACAAGAAACTGTTTGGATAACTGATGCTATGGGTAGTTGTTTGCTGGAACAGATATGACTAAAAAGGCAGATTGTACACTCGGGTTAAGAATATGGCAAGATGGGTCGCTCAGGGAATATGCAGGTGGCTATGGCTAGTAGATCTCCCTTCTGCTAAAAGATCACTGCTGAGGCACAAGGTCTCCAAAGCATATGTCCCTGGCTCAACTACCTTGCCAGGTAAGAAAAGTGTTGGATCCTTGAAATAGAATGGAAGGAACAGACCAGTTCTCACCCACAGCTATTATAGAGGATCCAATTTCCTGGGTAAATGGGCCCACCGATGAAAGGGTTGTCTGTGTGTTTGAAACATTAATAATACTTTTTAAAAGTTCACTGGATTTCTGAAGGGGGAAAGTATGAGATCCCTGTATGAGGCTCCCATAAAACTTCCCCAAAATCCCAAGATTAAGAAATATTCTACTTCCTCCAAGTCTTCTTCTTCCAGAATGGGAATTATCCTGGAATTACAACTCCAAGAGGAAAAATTCTTAACCCTGGGTCCTAATAAGAATTACCTATGGGGCACTTAAAAGATAAAGGTGCTGGGACCTCGTTTTCTGATTCACTACGTCTAGGGTGGAGCTTGGATCACTGTATGTTGCAAAAACAGTGATTCTCTACCTTGGTTTCACGTTAGAATAAGCAGCCCAACCCCATAGTGATTTAGTAAGAACTTCTAGGGGTGGGTGCGAGACAGCAATATTTTGTAAAAGTTCCCCTCATGCCTCCATTGAATTCACAGTCCAGGATAGGAGACCCCATTTCACTGATCGACTTCCAAGTGTAAACCTGGCTTTTTACTTGGACTGTATGTTCTGAGGCGGGATTGTTAACGTCCCGAAGTATGGAATAGTTAGTGGCTCTGCATCTGTGCTAAAGGGTCACCCAGAAGCCATGACCACTATCCCAGACTGAGGGGCTCCAGTAAGAAGTGAAACCACTGGGAATCCCGTGAGAATATGCACAAGTGGACAATTTCAAGGACTAAAGTTAGTGTGCAGTGGCCTCTTACCCTTGAAAACATTCCAGAAGGTGAAAAATCCAGATTTACAAAACCTAGGGCAAGCATGTACAGTTCTGTTACCATAGGACGCTTATTTTCACAGATGAATTCCTCACAATACCATTTTAAATATCAAGTCCCTCTAGAACATTTTGCAATTTACAAAACTTTGATTTATAAACAATTTTTAGTTATGCATCTGTTGCATGAAATAAGGTGCACATGCACAGATGTGTGCACACAGTTAGATATCAAGTTCGACATGTGTAGTCCCTGATGATTTTGTTGGCTGAGCAGATGCTGCCAGGATCACTGCAAACATCCTAAGACTTGTGTTAATATGTTGTAAAATTGTGCGAGCAGATGTTCGTTCTGCAGTGGAGGGGCTACTGGAGAGCCAGGCAACAGACAAGATCTTACCTTCACCTAGAGGAGATAGCAGTGAAGTGGGCAGAAGCCCTGACACTGTCTATATGAAGATCAGATGGAGGAAAGTGGAGTCAAGGACTGCTACTCCCTGCCCTAAGATCCATGTGCCTGGGCCAGGAGTCCATGACTTCCTCGCTGGGCTTCCCGATCACCTTTTACATAGAAGCCCCTACTGTAGGAAGCCTGTTGAGAAGTGTTGGCCTTGAGGGAGGGCAGGAAGGGAGTTAGGCTGTCTTTGACACATTGAGTGCTGAAGTGCTAGAAGCTAAAGAAAAACTAGCATACAGTGCATTCAGAGCCATCCAGCATCAGTGTACCTAGACTTGAAGGAGGGTTTTGACAATGGCAGAGAAGATTCACACAATTCTTGCTGATGTGTTGGACATTGAAATGTTTCCTTGGTACATACAAACATAAATGTTTGGAAAAACAGTAATAGTAGCCCAAGTATGAGCATAGTGATATAGTTGGCCTTTCTTTGCTGTTCAACTTCCACGTACTCTTGGTGGTCCCATATATGGCAGCAAGAGGATTGGTATTCAGAGAAGGATCTCATGCAGACCCCAAGGCTCTGGGTATTCCCCTGAGGAACTCTTCTGCTTTCCTGAGGCTCCCAGGAGAGGAGAGGCACAGACTCTCACATCATAAAATTGTCTATGAAAAGGCTCAGTCTTAGTTGAAGGGTTTTCTGCTCTGAGCAGGGACTTTCTACCTCTGGGCACGTGTAGGTTGAACTAGAACCAGTGACTCTGGCTTAACTCTCCATCCTCATCTTTTTCTTATGCCAGAGCCAGGCGGCCCATCTTTCACCATCGGCAAAGCTATTTGGTTACTCTGGGGTCTGGTGTTTAACAACTCCGTACCTGTGCAGAACCCAAAGGGGACCACGTCCAAGATCATGGTGTCCGTGTGGGCCTTCTTTGCTGTCATTTTCCTGGCCAGCTACACTGCCAACTTAGCTGCCTTCATGATCCAAGAAGAGTATGTGGACCAGGTTTCTGGCCTGAGTGACAAAAAGGTAAGAAACCCGTTTGAAACCTCCATCTTTCCCTTCATCCTGGTCTGAGCCCTATTCAAAGTTCTTGTGTACCTGTTAATTTTCTAAATCTTTAGACTCAATAGTTCTTTCTTGTGTTTTCTTCAATCAGGACACAGGAACAGAAATCAGTTTCCCTACCGAAATAATATTATTTCATGTTTGCTTTCTGACTTGTAAAAGTACACCCTGGGCTGCAAATAAGGGGCTTAGTATGGTCACAGCTTTCTGAGTATGTGGTAGCTCTTGTTGGATACAGTTGGGTGGCCTATCAGCTCCAGGTTGGCTCTTTGGTGTGTTATTAGAGGGCCGCCCCTGTGTACCCACTCGGAGGGGATGGGAGTGTTATGGCCTCATTTTCTCCACAGTGGTGTTTGGCTGTGGGCTCTTCCTTTGTTCCTCTACACACTCATGAGTTCCTAGGGCCAAGCAGGAGGATTGTTCACACTGTGTCTTTAAGAGAAGTAAGTGCCATTTAACCTAATGATTGCCCCGTGTGCTGCTGATGAATGGGTTGGCCTCCGTGCCAACTGCAGGCCTCCTTGTGGGCCTGTGCACTTGCAGGAAGTATCTGATGGTTTCCATCTTTGCTGGATGAGGATACACAAAACCCATTCTAAGTGCATTCGACTCTCCAGCTTTGTCTGGAGTGTCTCCATTTCCATGGGAGAGCTGTCCCCCAAAGCCTTGGGAATCAGGATGGTGGTCTAAGACAAATGGTGAGAGTTGTCTTTGTGAAGTCTCTGGTAAAGCTCATGATCAAAACAATGTTGGAGACTTTCACTTACAGCAAATCTCCTATTCACTGTTTCTTTCAAATTTAAGAAATGTGACTCCCCATCTCTGCTTCCAGGTTGAAGCCATGAAATACAGACAGATACCTTTAGATCAATAGGCAATGCCTCATCACCTGAGAGTGAGGTTTCCCCAAGATAAAATACTAACAGTTAGGCAGATGGTTTCAAAAGAGTGAAAAGGAAAAGATACTGTCTACAGGGCCTCAGGATCTGATTTTTTCCATCCATTTTTACTTCTCAAGAATATTCAAAAGCATATGGGAGATAAGTAGCTTCTTGGAGTGATATATATAATTTATCGTGCTTACCTTTTGATGTTATCTTTTTTCTGATTTGTCTTCCTTTTTACTTTTTGTCAATTATTTTTTTACTATTTAAAAAACCATTTCTTATGTTTTCTTCTCCCTTATTTTTAAGTTTTTATTTATACTTTCATCTAACTCATTTATTACAGTTTATCCATATATTCATCCATCTATGAATCAATCCATTTCTGAACATTTTTCTTTCTCATTATGACCCTACTGAAATTTGAATTAGATATCTTCCTTCATCCCATTACAACCACCTCCACCACCACATTTTTGTGGCTACTTCTGGAACCCAGGCTGTAGTGGGGTTAAAACTGCTTTTTTAGAGCTCAGTACCATGATAGGGCCTAAGGAAGGTGGACCATGTCCACCCTAAAATGTGGACATGGCAGCAGTTTGATGGGCCATGCCCCCATGTGTGGGTTTCCAGAGGTGTGGCAGGCAGTGCATTCACATCAGGGCACAGACAAGAGGTCGTGAATGTGAAACCACACAAAATATGACAAGGCCTGGCTGGGGATTTAGCTCAGTGGTTCTGGCACCTGCCTCGTAAGCGCAAGGTCCCGAGTTCGATCCCCGGTACCAAAAAAATAGAAAAACCAAATATGACAGGGCCTTGTTGCCTTGCAGTGATGTAGCAGAGGCTTGGTGGATCGTGTCCCTGCTCGTGAATAGCAGTGTTTGACAGGGCCTTGTCACCATGCGTCAATGTGGCAGAAGTGTGATGGCCCACAGCTTTGTGGGAGGCCCTGACCTGGTAAGAGGGGGACTACCATATATATCATAATTTTTTTCAAATGTCTCTGAAAATTGCTTAGTGCACTGTGTTATCTTTCTCATAATCTTGTGGGCCACTCGGCAACAACTGAATGCGTTTCTGTTTGAATTAAGCATAACTGGATGAGGGAAGATTGTTTCCCTTTCTGAGGCTTTGACAGAATTTATTATCGTAGGCTACCTCTAGAAGAGAAGATATGTATCTGTTTGTTCTCCATATCAGGCTGGTTATGTTCTGAAAAGTTGACCCAGTCACTTTCTGCATACAATAAAGGAAGTAGCATCTGACTTTTTTCCAGCCCTGCTATGCCTTTTAAGGCCTTGGCAAGTGATTTGCTGTGCTCCCCTGCTCTGCAGTATTGGCCAGTGCTTGGGTTCCTTTGTCCTGTACTAGGGCATCCTCAACTCCTTATCTCTCTTGACCATGTCTCTATCTGTGGAGCTGTCTGGGAAATTTTTCTTCCCAGTCCCTACTCACCAACTCCTACAGAAACGTCAAGACTCAGACTAGAGACCACTTCACTTGCGGGGGCCTTCGCTTGGCTCCTCTGGGCAGCTAGTCACTCTTTCCTTTGTCATGGCAATTAGTCCCACTTTGTTGTGACATTTGTCCTTCATGTTCTGTCATAATAATCTGTAGATCTCCACCTTATGATTTCTCCCCCTCTTTGACCATGAGCTCCATAAAACCAGTGACCATAACTTACTCATTATTAAGACAAGAAGATAAAAATAAAATAAAATTGAATTTAAAAATTTAAAAAAAGACAAGAAGATAAATAAATAAAATTTCAAAAGTACAAAGTCTGGGAGAGGGTGTATTTAAGAACCTCCAGGGCCAACAGTGGACTCAGTGTTACAGGCAAAAAAAGCACCCAACAGCAGGAACCCTTTAACAGCTGTTTAATGTGGAAATGATTGAAGATGGTTATCTAGTATATTTCAAAATTTTGCAAATGACAAAATAGTAAAGTGTAAGCACCCTACCAGAAAGTGTCAACACAATTTACATAATTATAGAAAACATTTAAGTAACTAATGACATATAACTGTATATTAGTGTCAGGAATAGTTATAAAAATCAGGAGAGTATTTTAAAAGTGTACTTAGAGTGTCAAAATTTATATTAGTTTTACTTCAAAACACCTAAAGAAAATAAAGTCTTGGGACTGGCATGGTAATGCATGAAAGGAAATGTAGTCTCTGAATTTAGACAATGAAACACAATGCAGACATTGAAACAATAATGTAGAGAATAGAAATAAGATGATTTTGTAGATTGTGATTTTCTGTGTAATTACATTTTCATCAATCAGAGTAGCATTTACAATGGAGAAGGGTTCCTAAACTTGTTATGACTATCACGAATGACATAGCTTCTATGTAATTCACATCAAATGATAACTATCTTGCAGTGATGATGGAAAGATATTTGTAGCCATTAGATGTACAGCATTTTAAAAATTTGTCTTCAAGTTTTTTGGTGGAAAAAATGTACCAAGATTTCATGTATGTCAGGGTACAAAATGAGAATGTTCAGAGTTAGATTTCCAGCCCGTATTTGTGCTCTTTTTGACTGGATAGCTTTCATGGTAGCATTGTACAGTGAATTGAGAGTGGTTCCTCTATGCACTGTAACTAAGTGTGGGCGCAAGTGCTAACATTTAGCTACACACTGTGCAATCCTTCAGCTCCTTCAGGGGGAGGAGGGTATAAGGAAGCTGGTGACATCTTCCTTCTTTTCACCAAGAGCTCCCCACGCTGGCTCTCATGCTTCCCACCACCCAGATGGACTTTTCCTTTTGGCCATCTGCCACCCCTAGTATGAAGCCAGGTGAAGGAAGGGAAAGTATTTGGAGGGTTTTAGGTACATTACCTATGCCACATATTTGTTATTTTTATAATCTTCTTATAGTTGTGATTGTTCCTATTTCACAAATAGGGATATCAAGACTCTGAGAAGCTTGGTAACTTTGCTAGTTACACATTATCCAGTGACAGAGTCAAGGTTCGTGTCCCCTTGTGTTTGACTCTAAAAGTACTCTGCCAGGATGTTTCCCTTCAGCGAACAGCATGCAGCGTTATGACATAATAAAGATTGGTATTGCGATCCTGCCTCTGCTTTCTCCTTTAATTCCCTACCCTCTCATTTAATGACTTTGGAGTTGAGGGCAGACTCAAGACTTATCCCATACCACAATGGAACACGTGATAAATTGTGTGAGCTTTCCACCTCTGTGACAAAATATCTGATATAAATATCTTAAGAAAGGAAAAGTTTAATTTCTCTTGTGGTTTCAGAGTTTCCATCTATGCTCACTTGACTCGGTTGCTTCTAGGCCTCTGGTGCGGCAGAAATGTCATAGTAGAAGGGTGAGGTAGAGGGAAGCTGCTCATATGCCAGCTGGATAGCAGAGAGAGACTGAAAGAGCCAGAGGAAGGGGCCAGGGACAAGATATGGTTTCCAAGGTGGATTACCCATGACCCCTCCCTTCAACTGAGCCCCACCCCTCATTTCCATCCCCTCCCTTTAATGTCATCAGATTATGACCTCCTCCACTGATGAAGTGAGAACTATCATGATCCAATCACACCCCAAAAGCCCATCAGCAACCAAGTCTTCAACATTATGAGCCTTTTAGGAACATTTCATAACCAAACCATAATAGCTTCATTCAACCCAACCCTTCTTAAGGCACGGTATACTGTCATTATCATTACTACTAATAAGAGATTATCATTGTTGTTATTAGTAGTGGTATAACTTCAACCATAATATCTCACCTAACGTTTTTCAGCTCTTTTAAACCAGGCATAATGCCAAATATGTTACACTGATTATCTTATATATGGTGCTACTAATATCTTTATTTGTAGATAAGACCACTGGAATTTAGAGAGGTTAAATAATTTGGCCTTCAGATATCCCTAGCAGCCTATAGATCTTAAATGGACCCTGTCATCAAATTTAGACCCCGAGGCTTTTTCCAGTTAGTTAATCACCTTACTTTGTATCCTCCCTTATACATTATCAAAGTATAACAAGTCAGATCCTTTTCCTGTGTTAAAAAATAAGCTATCTAATTAATTGAGCCAT